CCTTGCCAATAAGCAACGAGATTCTATACCGCCTATCTCGACCGTTTACAACCGAAGTTTTAGAGGCAATCTGCAACCTTACAAAGTGGATTTAAAGGCTATCCACACCTTTTACAAAATAATGAAAAGAGTTTGTTGCTTCTCTTCCAAAGTAATATATAATGTGATTGGGTAGGAGAAGAACACGATATAAAAACAACAACAATTGCCTATAAGCAAGATAAGAAGATGAAACACAAAAGCCCTTGGTGTGTGTGTTGAAAATATAAATATCAAAGCTTTAAATTCAGAAGAGAAGAAAAAATAAGGAACTTTAAAGCTTAGAACACACAAATGATCAAGAATGAGATTATAGAATGTAATGTATGTTGAAGGGTGTTATTTTTTGTGTTTGGGAGAGGCTTAGGAGGTGTATTTATAGTTTTTAGGAAGTTTAAAATGGGTTTGAACTGTTAAAGAGAGTGTTGGGAGACAAATTAGGTTGATTGGGATTAATTAAATCAATCAGGAAGAGTAACCAACAACTCCGGTACCTGTAACGGTAGTCAGGTGCCGTAACGGTAGGAGGTATCGTTACTGACGGTATAAGGTACCGTGAAAAGTAGGGATGCATACAAATCAAATAAAATGTATTCGATTCGTGATTCGCATTCGAAAAGGATGATTCGTATTCGCTATATTTGAATTCGAATCCGAATACAAATCATATTTTAGATTCGAATTATTTTTGAATTCGAATACAAATATTAATAGATTCGATTCATTTACTATTCAAATTATTCAAATATTATAATTTATAAATAAATTTACATATATTCTAATATATTAAATATTTGAGTACATATTTAACATATTTTAATAAATTAAATTTTTGTGTTCATATAAATTTATATATATTGAAATATTATAATTTATAAATAAATTTATATATATTCTGACATATTTTTACTACATTTTACATTATTATAAAATAATAATTTAATGTCTTTAAGAAATCTGTTTTAAGAAAAAATTACTAATATTTTCGAATTCGAATATTCGAATACGAATTCAAATACGTCAAATATCTATCGAATCAAATACAAATGTTTTTTAAAATTCGAATTATATACGAATCCGAATTTGAATACATATCACTTTTATCGAATACGAATCGAATAGTGATATATTTGCTTCGATTCGGTTCGTATACACCCCTAGTGAAAAGTCCCGTTTGGAGGTTCAAACTTGAGTCTCCTAAGCCTCAGGCGGTACCTAGGTACCGTTATAACGGTAGGGGGTACCGCCATAGTTCATTTTGGGGTGAGCTAGATTTGAACCGGTTGGTACCTACCAAGGTCTACGGTAGGGGGTACCGCCTTAATTAATTCCAGGTTGAGCCAAGGTTCTAACCGTCGGTACTTATTCAGGCTTACTGTAGGGCGTACCGTTTGAGTCCCTTTGACACTTAACCAAATTTGGCCGGGCGGTACCTACCTGCTGTACCGATAAGTCTAACAGTAGCTAGGTACCGTTAGCATGGTATGGGGTACCGTTTGGTCTAGTTCTAACCCAAATACCTTTTGGGGGGAAATTCTCAGCATATAAATACAGAGTTTCACCCGGTTCCAATTTGGACAACATGATATTCGATACAAGATAGGCCTTTAGGTCTTCAAAAGCCTTGTAGCACTCCTCGTCCCATGCGAAAGCACTGGCCTTCTTCAGCACCACTACTACACACTGCACTTTAGGCCGCACATAATGAAATTTCGCTGTCTAAAGATTACAAAATGGATTATGCTATGTGTACACCAAGATTTGTACCCCAATTTGTACCCCGCAGTTTTGCACCAACATTTTGTGTTGGTGTAAAACTAATTTTTGTTAAACGCACCAACATTTGTGTCCGTGTGACTTTTTATTAACGCACCAACACTTGTGTCGGTGTAAACCATCGAAATGATTGTGCAAACCTGTGGTGTACAAATGAGGTATATTTTTTGGTGTAAGTGTAGCATGGTCCTTACAAAATAGGGTACCGCGCTAAAACTTCATTTGGAGCGCATAAGATGTTTGGGTCATGCTACACTTACACCACAAATTGTACCCCATTTGTACACCGCAGTTATACACAAATATTTTGATAGTTTACACCGACACAAGTGTTGGTGCGTTAACAAAAATTTACACGGACACAAAGTGTTGGTGCATTAACAAAAATTAGTTTTGCACCAACACAAAGTGTTGGTGCAAACCTGCGGGATACAAAGTGGGGTATAAAACATGGGTTACATATAGGTTTATCCAAGATGTTTTTGTCAAGCACTTCTCCCAGCAGATATCATTATCACTATTTATTTAAACAATGCTTGGTTTTTAACCTCATTTACTCCCTCATCTCTTTAATTTTATGACTCTTTCTCTCACTTTCGAGCTCATCTTGTCGCCTCACTGTCCTCAACTCCTGAAGCAACGAGCATCGCTCCAAAATAGGCGACAAGAACAGAAAGTGAACAACACTTGGTTGAGGTAGGCGGCGTTTTTGTCTTGTTTTTCCATTTATGTCTTGATTTTGATTTTTTTGAGGGATTTTATTTCTTTTTAATTTTAAGTTAACGGATTTTTTAGGTCTTGAATGTGGATTTAGATTTTTGAGTTTAGGGATTCAATATAATTTTGAGTTTAGGGATTTAAATTATTTTCTATTAATCTTAAAAGCAATTTAGTAGTTTGATTTTGATAATTTTTATTTTGAATTTGTTTGGATTGGTATACAGATTTAGGTTCTAAATTGTTGTTAGTCTTATATACATAGTAACTTAGATGGATGATATATAGTTTAGTTTTAATTGTGTTGTGGGAAAACTTTATTAGCTCATAAGTGGTTAGCTTTGATTTTGTTGTATGTCAAATACTCTGTAAAATTAGAGTTAAAACTTCAAAGTTTTGTTATGAAGTGAAATCTAGAAAATCACTCTATATATAGTTTAGTTTGTGTTATGGGAAAACTTTATTAGTTCATCAGTGGTTATCAGCTTTGATTTTGTTGTATGTAAAATACTTTGTAGAATTAGAGATAAAACTTCATAGTTTTGTTATGAAGTGAAATCTGGAAAATCACACTATATATGTATCCCCTGGTTGTATATTTTTTTGAAGATAAAGTTCAAACACCACCCTTTTAATCTTCTTTTCACTTTTTTGACTAGATTATACATTGCGATTTATTTGAAGACAATCAAAGGAGAACTTTATTTCTATAAGGCTTTTTCATTTTATAATATGTTGTTTCTTGTAATAGAAATTATTTGATTGAATTAGAGAATAACAATAGTGGATGGAAACTGCACATTGAAACCCATTGTTCCAGACCAAATTCTATTTTGATGCAGGTGCGTGGAGAATTGAAAAGGAGTCAAATGGATTATTGAGTCATAGGTTTCTTGAAATCTAGATAGGCTTTCTCTTAAAAAAACTGATCCAACAATGCAGGTTCAGAAGAATACTCAAGGTGAGGAGTAGAAAAATTTAGTGCTCCAGTGATTTTTTATATGAGAAACTTAATGCATATTTTTCTTAGAGAAATATTGTTATTAGAGCTTGTACATGCATAATGATTATATCTTTCTCTCGGGCATTTGTAGAATCGGAGCATGTTATTTGATTTGATGTTCAAAATAAAGCTCATTACTCCTTTTAAGCATTGCTCCCTTATGCTATTAAAAATTAAAGTTCTACTTTGGCATTTTTAAAATCTCTAGTGTCCCTAACTTCTATATGCATATCCAGAGTTTACACCTGATCAACCCTTGTCTGAACCAATAAAGTCCATCTTTTTCTAGTCTTGTTAATTGTTATTGATAGGGGAGACTCATCCACCCATTAATAAAGTAAACTCATCTATGACCTTGAATCTTTTCTGATCCACCAACATAGCACATACCTAGAGTTCTGTATTTATATAATATTTGGGATCTTCACCTTCAACCTGTCTATTTTTGAGTTCTCATTTGAAACCAAACAGGTGAAGCAGGCCCTTTATATGGATCAGCCTCATTGATTGGTTTACAGCAGCTTTTGTTTTTCCTAATAATCAGAACATAATTTGGCTAGACTTTTCATTATGCAATTCTGCAATATGCATCTTCTAGTTAATTTGGATTGGTTGTTTTTTCTTGGGCTGGCTATTACATGGGTAAGAGGTTGGTGCTAGATTTACAACAGTTTACAAGTTTGTTAGAAGATAATTCTAGTAAGTTGTGTACATATTAAACATGGCCACAATTATATGTTCTTAAGAGTTTGATTGATTTTTAGATTTTTGCTTTACTGACCTTTACAGATGTCTGCACAAGAGCATGAAAAAGGTATTTTCTTGTTTTAGCTGGTGGAGGCTATCTTGTTCCTTCTCACTACAATTTCTATAAAGAGACACAAGGAATTGCCAACTACATGTTGGGCTTTGGCTTCTTTGCGCATTTGGAGTCCATAACTGAATTGACTAAAATGATGTATATGTACTAGTATATTTTAACTTGGGAACATTTGGATTGGTCTAAACATATTTTCATCTGGGAATAAAGTAATGTTGGTCTATGTTTTTTATATTTTTATAGCAGTAGTGATTTGAAATTTTTTGTATATCATTATTGGTTTGGTTTAGTTGTCATGTTTGGGTTAGGACTCAGGACCACCCCCTCTTGGATGTACTTTGCATTTCTTAGTACTAAAATTATTCTTTTCATGTATGTGTGTGTGTATGTCCAGTTAAATGACACCTTACAGTGAAATGACATGCTTCGGTGAGATGACGTCAAGCTCACCACATTACACTACAAAGCTCACCAATGGCTAATGCAAAGCTCAACTGGAAATAAAGCAAAACTCACCACTTTGAACACAAAAACTCTCTTCTTTTTAAATTTTGAAAATTAAAAAATTAATTAAAAATAAAATAGCAACACCGGCCAACCACCGGTCAGCAGCGGCGGCAGGTGGTGGCAGCGGGACAGCGGCGGCTGCCGGCGGCTAGTGGCGGTCAACGGTCAAAATCTAGACAGCACCCCTTCCTTTGTTTTTTTCTTTTAAAAAAATTTAAAGTTTTGAAAAAATATGGTGAGCTTTGCAGTGGCCAGTGGTGAGCTTTGTGTCATCTGACCGTAGCATGTCATCTCACCGTAAGGTGTCATCTGACTGGAGTCACTGCAAATATATGTATATATATATATATATATATATATATATATATATATATATATATATGTATGTATGTATGTATGTATGTATGTGTGTGTGTGTGTGTGTATATATATATATATATATATATGTATGTATGTATATATATGGGCTTAGAGAAAGAGAGGGGCTCTGGAGATCGGGTTTCCATTCCTAGCTGCTGCTATCAACGAAGGTCTACGCCGGTGGGAAAACTAGTCAACGGAAGAACAACATCGAACATGCAAATTAGGAAAGGAATTGACGACTCCCGACGGCACATTCAAGAAGCAGTCCAAAATTGCTCAAAGCTCAAAGGTCCAGATGCCAACGGAAGATTTAAGGTGCAGTCGAAAAGGTTCTCCTTCAATGTTTCATAAGCTAAATTCCTTGAGATCTCAAAAGAACGAAGGTACAAATCTTATCGATTTTGGATAAACAAGAGTACCCTTATCTGGATTTGTTCATGCTTCGATTTAATTCTCCAAAGACCAGTGCTCACCAGTTGGGTTCAGACAAAAAAGGAAGGTACCCGTGATTTCCGATTCTCTTTTGATTCGAACTCCTTTGGGTTTTTCGTTCAGTTAACAGAAATGAGAGAAAATGGTTCCACCTCAATATTTGTTCCTGAGGGTTACACTAGGTATGGTTTTAGACTGTTCCTTGCTAAGCTTAGATCGGCTGGTATGATGTTTGAAAATAATGGTACTGAATTATGGGTTATTGATACTACATGCTTATACCCAAACTCTTTTGAGAAGGAAACCGCTGATGCTCAGACCATTTCCAAAGCTCTGTTTAATAAAGACATTGGCTGCTATCTAAAGTCTACTAAGTCTGAAAATTCTACAACCATAACTGACCCCCTCTTGAACTCTAGTATGGTGAAACCTGTTAGCAATCAGGCTTATGATTCTTCCTTACTATCTTTGTCTAAAGAGATGCAACTTGCTCTGGCTTCTACAAGAATGAGTTCCTCTTCAAATGTAACAGTTGATGTGCCAACTTGGGAAGCTAGAAATTCAAAGGCAGATTGTGGTGCTCCAACAGATGTGGCAATAAGTTCCATAGTGCTCAGAGAAGGAGTAAAATTCAAGCCCATTGCTGACTTTGAACTACAAGACTCTAACTCTCAAATTACCCCTGTAGAAGGGATTGGTTTAGCACTGGCAGTTTGCTCTGAAGTACAGCCCGGGACAGGAGTTTTTCACTCAATTGCCGCATGCTCCTCTTCACAAGTAATCCGAAGCTCAACCAAAGATAAACTATCATTTCATGCCTCTCCATTCTATCCTAGAAGTCTTATGCCATCTAAACTATCTTTAAAGGATATGAAAGCTCTAAACCTTAAAGCAGAGGATCTCCAAAATGATTTGATGATGACTGAGAGTTCACCAAAGAATAATATTTTTAGTGTGGGACTTAGAGATCATGAGAGTAATAGTTCTCCTCTTTTGGAAGAGGAACAAAGCTTACTGTTTGGGGATAGAATACTAGAAGATGACCCTGATTTATTTGATGATGGGGCAGGAATATCACATCCTGGAAGACTTAGATATCGGGGTAAAGGTAAAGGCAAGAAAAAGAGAAAGAAAAAAGGGAATACAAAGAATAAGGGACAACAAGCTTGTAACACCCTAATCCGTCCAGGTCTGCAGCCCCTTTCAGACTAAAGTATTAACTTGGTAATCATAAAATTTAAAACATTTCAAATACTTTTATTCATCATAAATATTATTTCATACACCACGACAGTCTCGCCCCTTCTGCTACCAGGAACATGCCAATCATTCATTCTGCCTACCTGCGTGTAGCAAATAAAACATACTACACGCTCAGCAATGAAGCTGAGTAAGCATATCTAAAGCGTCGAACATCCACATAAATTGAATCTTAATTAATAAATAACCATTTGATATCATGCACACAATATATAATTCATTTTTATTTCAATATCTCAATATTCAACATTCATATTCAATATTCAATATTTAACAATATCCTTAAACTATACTTAGTCTCAGGCCAATTTCATTCTTAAACTAATTCTAGTTCGAGATATCCTAATCCTTAAGCTAGGCCTAGTTTAAGATATATATATTTTTAAAGAGAATTTTTAAATCTTAAACTTACCTTCACTTAAGGTCAACCAAAAACCGACAGCGTAGTGTTCACTGTTG